CCTATCTGTATGCTGTTTTAAATTTCACTATATTTGGGTCGATTTCATAGCAGTGTTTGAGCCAGTTGGGATGATTTTGAATCACATGTTGGTCATCTGCTATATTAAATATCTCTTCCAGCTTTGTATATTTACAAACTATTTCATCCACGCTATTGGTAACCCATTGTCAACAAGTAGATTCTGACTCATAGCAACCCTGCAGGACAGTGTAGATAGAACTACCCTGTGGGGTTTCCAGAAGCAGACAACTACTCCTTTCTCCCTCAAAGCCATGGATGGGTTTGATAAGAATGTTTCATCGGGTGTAAACCAAACCCATTGCCAGTGAGTCTATACTGGTTCATAGCAACCCTAGAGGGACTAATAACTGCCCCCAGAGGGTTTCCAGGGCTGTATCTCTGAGGAAGCTAACTGATCAGGTGACTGGTTCGAACCTCTGACTATGAGTGTAACAGCCAAGTGCTTCACCACAGTGCCACTGCGTTTAGTCATTATCAACTACCCTCGCCACCAACAAGCGCGCTGCTGCCATCAAGTCCATTCTAACGCATAGTGACCCTAGAGCAGCGGTTCTCAACCGTTCTCATGGCACGACCCTTTCAGAGTGCCTCATGTGGTGGTGACCTCCCACCCCAACCATAAAATTATTTTTGTTGCTACTTCATAATTAATTTTGCTACTGTTATGAATCAGGCGACCCCCGTGAAAGGGTCGTTCGACCCCCAAAGGGGTTGCGACCCACAGGTTGCGACCCATTGCCCTATAAGATAGAGTAGAACTGTTCATTTGAGTTTCCAAGACTGGAAAGCTATATGGTAGCAGCCAGCCTCATCTTCTCTGGAGCCACTGGTGGGTTTGGACTACCAACCTTGAGATTGGTAGTCTAGCATTTACCTTATGGCTCTCCCAGAGCACTTCAGTTATCTCCGGGTAGCTGGGGTGTTCTTAGATGTAGCTGTCAAGAGTTGGTCCAGGCATCACCATCTTCAGTTGGCAAAAGTTATGGTGATGCTAGCAGGGGAAAAGAAAGGTTGAGAAGTTGATTTTAAAGTCAGGAAGCAGACGTTGCACTTCCTACTTTTACTTATAGCCATTGGCTCGTCATAGGGTCTCATCTACTGCAAAAGACCCTGGTAATGTCTTCAGCTTGGAGATAAGCACAAGTTAAGAGTGAGGAGTCAATGAAGGGGGAGGAGGAGAGAGTGGAGCACATCCTGGCCCACCAGGCCTTGAGGACAATGTTCCTGCTCAGAGCAACCAGTCCACAGGGAGGACCACATGGCCGGCCCCACAGTGAGACATGACATCCCTCACTGACCCATAGCCCTACAGGGAACAACACCGGAGACACTGTGGGGATTGCGCCCTATCTGATCCCACCACACCAAGGCAAAACACTTAAAGGAGTGCAACAGAACAGCAAGGGAACGGAGTGGTGAGGTCCCCAGGGAATGCTAAAGGTGGACTTTGGGACCAGGGCTTGGTTCCCCAACAGACTGGACTGGAAAACACTCCTAAAGGCCAACAAACAGTCCTTGAACTAACTACAAACTTTCCTTTCTTG